CGGCGCGTCGACGGGGTTGTGGAGCAGGTTTTTCAGCTTGCGCTGGCAAGATTTGACATGGTGACAGTGGCGGCGTCATTGGTCATCGAAAGAAGAATGATGGAAAAGATTCACGGGGGCCGCGTAACGCGTGCGCTGTGGCTGGTCTTGGCCTAGCTCATCGCGGTGGCCAATGGGACAATCGTCGGGGTTCTTGCGGACCCGCTCTTCTGTGGCGGGGGCTGCTCTCAGTCAATCAGAGACGAGGCGCAGCTGCTTGGTGTCGTCAGGGCAGGTGAAGGGGACTAGAGAGAGGGCACTGAGGTCAGTCAGGTCGTCAGGGTCCTGCGGGCAGCGGTGAGCCCCTCAGTTCTCGCTGCTTCCTGATCCGGGACTGGAGGTTGCCCTGGTGTCGATTACTGAATGAGGTAAGGAGCAGGGGACAGGGGGCAGGGGGGGTCAGAGAGGCTCAGAGTCCAGCTGGGAGAGGCAGGCGCAGAGGGCCCGTAGTACGGATAGTGGGTCTCTTAGGGGCCCGAGGACGCTAGACGAGTGCTGGAGACCGCGGGTCCCTGAGGTGTTTTGGTGAAGCATTTTCATTTAGTTTTGTTCAAATTGCTCGCCGGCTCGTTTTACCGCAATAGGCTCGGTGTACAGCCCTTCTTAGCCTTATTAGATTAAAAGACGCAGAGATCGGGGGCGGTATCGGCCAGCGAAGAAGGGCACAGAAGAAGCATAGTTGGATTTAGCTTAGGTAGCGCGGATACCCCGTGTGGCTGCTGCTACCCTGGAGGTGCTACTGCAGGCAGTTTGGGGAATAGGGCTAGGCGCCCGGAAGCCAATCAGCCCGTCAACGTGGATGCCGATGTTGCTGGCAGCGATGGAAAACTCGTCAGGAAACCTGTCTGCAGTCAGCGTGGTCCGGTAGGTCTGCTGCGACACATGTTGCCACACCGGGCCAGTGAGGAGAAGGATAAGCGAGACAGGTTGACAGACTGCCAGCAGTGGTGTTGCAGCGCTGCAGTGCGTGAGTGGTGAGTGCCAGTGCCTCTGCCAGCTGCCGTTGGATCATCGGAACGCTAAAGAAAGCGAGGTGACGATGGACGACGGGTGTTTTCGCTTGCAGTGCCTGACGAGTCTGGGGTCGTTGGAACTTGGTCGAATCATCAAAGGGCAGGAGGGCGAATCGTTACTCTCTTTGGGCAGGTTTCTGGGGGACATGAGTAGTGACTCCCTAACACCAGCAGTAGCATATCGCTGGGCCAGTCAGAGATGGGTTTGGCTTGCTACGGGAGGTCTCCAAGCCAAACAGGGACTGCACTGTCACGGACGATTGCCGGCCACCTGCCATATTGCGATCTGTTGCTTTAGACTTGGACCTTACTTGGTTAGTAATGAAGATAGTGTCGTTGAGCAAACACTTCCACCGGCACGTTGGGTACCTTTATTGCAGAGGCTAAAAAAGGTACCGCACGGGCACGCCTTTCTGCCACCTTTGGTCAAGTACCTGCCAGCCATCTGCGGATATGACCGACCGGCTGGGTTGACCTTGCGGACCCAGAGATGCCAGATGCTACCCGGTGATCAACGCAGGTATCCTATCCTATCCTGTCCGTATCCTGCTGGCCGCGGCATTCTCTCCCTCGCTCGCTTTCAGACGTCTGTTGTGCCCTCTCATGATATAAACGAACCGGGTTGCCGCTACCCGTGTTTGTGGCCTTGTCCACCTGAATGTCATCACTCGCCTCCACTTCCAGCATAACCAACGCAACGTCAACCGACTATCATAGCCCACATCATCCACGCCCAAAGACCACACCATGAGCACGATCATCGACGAGCAATAATAACGACCAACGACGCTCACTCATAACCACGACCGCCCCTGCTCCCACGAATCTTTCCGTTTTGCTCCTGCCATCTCTTCAACCTTCCCACACGGCCTACGGCTCGCCCATTCCACGATTGCCTCATCGACCCCCGCAAAGCCGTTTCAGCATCGACGTCGCAGCATCTCTTGACTCTTTGCTTCTTCCGCTCAGAAGCCGGTTCGCCCACAAAACAAAACAGCCCATTCCCTACCGCGCGCTTGTTCAGTGGAGAACACGCAGGACCCTTTTCACCGAACCTTTCGTCATCTTGGCTCTATCATTCGTCAGGAAGGAACCGAATTCGACCCCGTCTCTTGGATATTACCTGCCGGTCACGCGGATACGTTTTCGGTGTAATAGACGCTCACACTCGCCCGCCCGCCCTTGACACCCAGCGTGCCAGCGTGTTTCCGTCCCGCCGCTTTCTGCCCAGACTCTCCGCCGTCTTACCGCCTTCCAAGACCCCAAGGCCAAGTCCTCGCGTTCCACCTCTGACGCCCAGTCCCGGAATACCGGCACCGCTTCGCGCCAATCGCCTCGGCCTCTCCAGGTAAGCCATGCCATTTTCCACAACTCGCTTTTTTTGCCATGTCTCTTTTTTCCTACCTGCCTGTTTTCTTCCACCAAGCTCCATCCTCCGACCGTCCTCCGTTACTCATTTCATCCCGATCCATCTGGCACCATCCGCCTACCAGCGGAACCCTTGCATCCTCCACTCGTCATTCGTCGGCCCGCGAGAGAGGAAACGCCTTGCGGACACGCCGCCGGGTCATCCGTGCTTTCTAGAAGCAGAGGCTCCCACCTATTCCCTGTCGTGCCCGTCGTGCTTGTTGTCGGTGGTATTTTGCCTTTTTTTTTGTTGGGCGGTTGGGACAGTTCCCACGGGCACAGCACTTCCGTCCCCATCCAATGAAGACGCCACGATCAGAGTTCGAGGAACATGACACAGCCAAACATAACCGGCCATGACCTCCAACTGTGTGTGCATTGCATGGCCGAGTCCCTCATGCAGGTCATCCCAGGCTCTCAGCCTGTCCATTCTTCCGCTCAGCGAGTTTAGTGCTCGTCTGTCCTCTGAGGTGCAGCGGGAACAAACCTAAGCCGGAGCGGTAGCAGCAGCGGCGTGCATTCTTGCAGCTCTCCCGGGCACTCTGTTCCCCCGCCTCCCCCTGCACACCCCCAGTCTCTTGCTGGCATTGCTGCACTGCTTGGAGCTGCTGCGGCCAGTCATTCGTCGATGATGGCTGCGCTCGACTCGATTTTGCAAGCGGAAGGCCGAGCCCGAGCGAGGAGCAGTCATGGAGCGAGAGCGACGGGCAACCTGTTCGTCCATACCTTATACACACGAGAAACAAGACGCAGCACACCTCCACAGCCCAAGAGGCGGGACGTTACGTGTTTGTTGCTAGATGCAGCCATAGCGAGAGAAGCATAGGCCAGTAGCCACACCCGCACCTCGATGCGCTGGTGCGGTGCAGCACCTGATGGCACCCCTCTAAATACTTGCCTCCCCCCGCCCATTCCCGCGGCTGTTGGGGCGTCGAAAAAAAGAGGAGTCGATTTCTGCCTGCAGTCGAGTCGTCTCGCTTGTCCAATTGCCAACCGTTGCATCTGCTCTCGTCTCGTTCCTGGGCCTGCCGGTCTCATTAACTGGTCTCGCCTTTTTCGGGAGGGGATTCGTAATTGCCCAAGACGCTAAAGGATCAAACGGCAACATCTCATAAACCCACGAGAAAGAATCCCGTCGGCTTCTCGCCCTGAAGCCCGGTCCAGTCTGGTCTTTATTTCCGCCTTTGTCTCTTCCGATATTCCAGTTTCGTTTCCCGAACACCTTTTCGCCGCCTAGTCTGAACAGAGAGCAGTCTCTCACTCACTCATTCCCCGGCTCTTTTCTATCTTCTGTTTCCCCACGACGCTACTATTCCATTGAATATCAGCCACTCAAGACCAAGACCGTTCCTGAGACCGTCTCCATCTCGCATACTATCTCGCACTATTTTATCTTCGATCGACTCCCCACAGAAACTAAGATCGCAACACCGCAGAGCCTCACAAAATGAACGCCACACCACGAAGCCCGTCAACCAAGAGTACGAAGAGCCAAAACAGCCTTCGTAACACTGGCTTTCCTGAGCCTTTTAACGGAGGTATGTTACTCACCAAGACCCCAAAAAGTGAAGTTGACACTGACCTTTCCAGACCGCAACACTACACTACCACACCCCGACGCCAACCTCTCACCAAACGCCGTCATCTCGCAGGATGATATCGACTCCAGCAAAGTGATGGCCAGGACACGCCGCTCATTCCTCCAGAAGCACAAGCGAACCATCAGCCACGGCGTTATTACCCCGCAAATGGCCGCCATGTACCGCGAGATGGGGGGCAGCGACGCCGACTCAACCGCCATCCTCGAGCACGACATCCACTCCAACACCAGTCAAACCAGCCTGCCCGCGGGCCGCATCAGCAAGGACGGTGCCGAGAGCATCTTGTCACACAGCGGCGATCTGTCACCAGTGACATCGGAGACGGGACGCAAGGGCAGTCTGTTTAGGAAGCTTGGCTGGCGGAAGTAGAGCACGGCGGCCGACACTCCTGCGAGAGACGCCAAGAAGGATACCGCTCCGAAAGACGACGACGACAAGAAGTTGAGCGTTGAGACAACGCAACGCAAATGACGACACGGCCGAAAATTTGTAAAAACAGACATTACCAGCGCAAGCGTGGAGTTTTATTTATTCATGGTATTGGGACGGGTTACTGGTGGGCTTGGGAACATGGGGATTAGGCGTACACAACAACGGGCGGGCCACTTCAAAATGGAACATGGGGAACATCTTTCCCTCGACTTCTTCTTTCTTTTGTCACTGTCGAAGCCCGCCCTGCAGGCAGGAAGACGCAAATTCCCTCTCAAGGAGGGACAACCTAGGATGGGACGATGAAGAAACTATCGTTAACCAGCAGATTTTTAGTAATCATATCACCGAGTTGCAAGGTTCTTGCACCATTGGATATCATGTTTTGTTCTCCGTTGCTACACCCATGTGAATGCCTGCCTGTCTGTGCAAATGCCACACGCGTACCTCACTGACCCAGTTCCCTCAACTTCCGCGATTCCATGTGCCCACGCACCCATGCAACCCGCGCTTAGCTGCCGCGGTACGTCGTATAGCTATACGGACTCACCAGCAGCGGGACATGGTAATGCTGGCCCTCCTGGACGGTGAAGACGACCACGGCCTCGGGGAAGAAGGTCTTGTCGTCGCCGCCAAAGTACGCCGCCGTGTCGAAGCGCAGCTCCCAGCGCGAGGGGCCCTTGATCTCGCCCAGCACGTCCTCGAGGGTGTACACGGGGACCTCGCCGGCGGTGGACGAGGACGAGTACGGCAGCCAGGCCTTGATGCGGCCGTCGTCGTCGGTGAGGGACTCGAAGGTCTTGGGGAGGGCGGGCTGGCCTGGCGCCGGGGCGGGCGAGGAGGAGGCGGTGGTGGTTGTGGAGAGCTGCACGCGGACGCCGCGGGCGGGGGTGCCGGTTGAGGTGTCGAGGACGTGGCAGGTTATGCGGTCTTTTGTTGGGGAAGCCATTTTGAGGGTGATTTGGGTATGGGAAGGTGAGGAGGGGTTGGATTGTGAGGTGAGGTTTGGGGGGAGGGGATTTGGTGATGAGGACGGCTGAAGGTGAGGCGTTCGTGGTAAGGCGTCAGTGAGGCTCTCTGCCTGGGCCGGCTGATGGCGGGGTAAGGGGCGCGGTGGTGGTGCGGTGTGAGGAAACTGCGGCGGCCGGGGAGGGGCTTGGCGGGGTTCCGTTTGGGTCTTTGGCTGGCGAAGTGGGGTCGGTCAGCGTCGGTGGCAGGTGTATGTTTTGCCTGGAAGTGCCCGATGCCGCGAAGCAATAATGAAGATCCAAACAGCAGGCAGGCACTTTGCAAAAATGGAAAATGAGCGACTATGGCTGTATATGCGATTGCACGGGAATGTAGACCTTCTTATGGCCCACGGCGGTGGTTGCATTTGATGGGGGCGGCGACGGCGGGGCACCCGATAATCGCGGTGCACAGCGTCGCAGGGCGCCGGGTCGCGATGCGGAGCAGATCCCTGGGCTGAGGCTGCTCGCTCAGCTGTGGGTTTACCTAATTGTCCTAGGCTGCAGCGTCCTAGGACTCTGGTAGTTCTACAAGATGTGGTGTGAGGAAGGCCTGTTATTTTCTTGGAAATCTGTCTCTAATGGATGTCCCCTTCATCAAACGCCGACCAGTGTCGTGCAGGCAGGTGTTGAGAGAGAGGCGGCGTGCAGCGACTCAGCCACGCTCTGTGTGTTCACCGCTGAGCGACCTTCAGTCTTCTCCACGTAAGAGGTTGTCAGCTCTAGCGAGAGATGTCAGCTTTCCCATCGGGCTAGGAGACACGTGGAACGGTCGGGATGCGAGTCGAAAATAGAACATTGCGTGCGCTGGAGAATCGGTGGCGGGAGATGGGCGTGATGATTTTACGTATGTCATGGCGAGGGGCTTGGTTGTAGGACTAGGCAGGTCAGCTTGCGGTGAGTCCTACGTCTTCTAGAACGCGACCAGAACCATTATCCCAAGAACTACCGAGCAATATTCGCGGCTCTCTACGAATACCAGTGATATTTTGTGGTTCCCGATTCCTTCCTAACTACTCTATCTCAATATTCCATTCGTATGCAGCGTACGCATACACCTCTGTATCAGAACAAACTCCAGAGAGGCGCAAAGTCTATCTACAAATGCCCTAAGGATGATGGCCTCCAGTGATCATGTTATGTTTGATGGCATTTCTTGAAAGGGGATTTCAGGCTTGAGAGGTGGGTCAAGGACGACCGGCACATGCCGGACCCTGAACGGGAGGCCCCGGCGTGCTGGGCCTCTGTCACCAAAACACCTGCACCGCACTGCACATCCACAGCCAGCCACGCTTCGGAGAGAGGTCAGCACTGACTGCGTCATTGTGGCCCGTGCGCCGTACCGCTTAATTGGATCGCTGTAAACCTTCTTACCGAGCCAATCACAGCACGCCAGTATGACAAGAACAGCCATACCCATCGAATCTCAGGGGAGGGAAAAAACTGGACGGACGAACACCAAGAAAAGCCAAGACGGGCGGTTTGGCATGGCATTTTTCGGGCCAAAGGTCATGCCGTGAGGTACAAAAGTCTTGCAATAATCGGCATAGGAAAAAAAACCAAGGTTGGTGCCGGCGAGTACGCGGCGCGAAGCGATCAGAGGTCTGGATCATGAGAATGTACTGTCACTGACAGCTTGAAAGATGCGCCCAAGAGGCTCCAAGAGGGGCGATGCGGAACGATGATCTCACCTTTGAAAGTCGCCTGAAGTGCCTAGACGCAGTCCACGCCAAAACACCAAGACTCTTGGCTCCCCTGGCTGACGTACTGCGACGCGGTTCCAGCCCGTACCAAAACACCACGGTCGCAGCACACGAAGGAGACGGGAAATCACCGCCCAGAAGGCCAAGCGCATCGCGTCTGATGAGCTGTCCACCATTCTCTGGAGCACCAAGATACAAAACACCATGGTGTCCCTCATCCCGTCCCTCCCATGGAGGAAGAGCCCTCCCGCTCGCCATATCGTCTCTGAGAACCTCTCAGCCCGCCCCTGAGAACCATCGATGGCAGAGCACCCCGTCACAGACCCCGCCGAGGGAATCCAGTACCTCACCGAAGACGAGATCAATTCCTTCCTTGACGACCTCGACCACAACGACGACGGCTACATCGACTACGCCGAGGTCGAGGCAAAGCTCGACGCCGCCCACGACGAGCTCACGCCCTCCTCCCAGCTCAAACCTCACCACGTCATCAGAAAGTCCCACGACTCCGCCGACGACCGTCTCCGCCATGACTTTCTCCGGTCCATCATGGGAATCTCCGACGAGCCGTCTGCAGACCATCAAAACGACTCCCAAGACCTCCGCAAGATCCGCATCCCCCGCGCCGTCTTCGCCGCCCGCGTCCGCGACTGGAAGGTCCCCTCCCTGAGCCAGGACAAGGCCGCCGAGGACGACGAGAGACACTACGTCCGCCGCCTGCGCCCCTGGCGCCGCTTCCGCGCCTACTGGGCCGTCCACGGGCCCGAGGTCGCCTTCCTCGCCCTCGTCGCCGGCCTCACCCTCGCCTTCGGCGTCTGGCAGTGCGTCAAGTACGCCACCACGCCGGCGTACCGCGCCGCCTTCGGCTGGGGCGTCGTCCTCGCCAAGACGTGCGCCGGCATGCTGTACCCGACCTTCTTCTTCCTCATCCTCAGCATGTCGCGCTACTTCTCGACCTTCCTGCGCCGCTCCTACCGCGTCTCGCGCTTCGTGAACTGGGACCTCGGCCAGGCGTTCCACGTCAAGATTTCCATCGTCGCGCTCACGCTGGCAACGCTGCACGCGATCGGACACCTGACGGGCTCGTTCTACCACGGCAGCCGGCCGGGAAACCAGGACGGCGTCGCGGCGGTCCTGGGGCCGGATATGGTACCCCGGCCGTATGTCGAGTACGTCCGCTCGCTGCCGGGGTTCACGGGTATCACCACACTGGGGCTGTTCTACGTCCTCGCGCTGTGCAGCCTGCCGCCGGTGCGCCGCTGGAACTACGAGCTCTTCCAGCTCTCGCACCTGCTGATGTACCCCATCATCGGGCTGATGATGGCGCACGGCACGGCGGGGCTGCTGCAGTGGCCCATGTTTGGCTACTTCCTCGCCTTCCCGACGCTGCTCATCCTCATGGAGCGGCTGGTGCGCCTCGGCACGGGGTTCCACCGCATACCGGCGACGCTCAAGGTCCTGGACGGCGAGACGGTCGAGATCACGGCTACGATCCCGAGTGAGAGGATCTGGAGATACCGGGCAGGACAGTACGTCTTCCTGCAGGTGCCCGAGATCAGCGCCTTCCAGTGGCACCCGTTCACCGTATCCATCTGCAAGGGCAGGGAGTTCCAGCTGCATATCAAGACGGACGGGAACTGGACGAAGAGGCTGCGGGAACTGGGCGGCGAGGCGGGGGAGGCGCGCGTCGAGGTCGGGATTAATGGCCCCTTTGGCGCGCCGGCGCAAAGGTTCTACGACTTTAGGCACACCATCATCGTGGGCTCGGGCATCGGCGTCACGCCCTTCTCCGGCATCCTGGCCGATTTACAAGCCCGCGACGACGACGAGCACGGGGGGCCTACGCACGCCGCCGGCCAGCATCACCAGCAGCAGCAGCAGCACCGCCACGACTCCGAAACGACCGTGACCGCACCCGTCCATGACGAGAAGCAAGTCCCCAACAACCTCGCGAAGCCGCCGCCGCCGCCCTCGGCATCGCACTCCTTCGTCCCTGACTACCGCCGCGTGGACTTCCACTGGACGGTGCGCGACAGGAACTACCTGCTCTGGATCGCGGACCTGCTCAACGCCGTCTCGCGCAGCCAGGCGTGGCACCGCGCGCACGAGGGCGCCGCGCAGCAGCACCTCGACATCCACATCGCGACGCACGTGACGCAGAAGCGGCGCGACATCGTCACGCACGTGTACCGCTGGCTGCTCGAGATGCACCGCACCGAGGAGCACCCGCGGTCGCCGCTGACGGGCCTGCTGAACGCGACGCGGTTTGGGCGGCCGGACTTTGACGCGGTGCTGGACAGGCACTACGAGGAGATGCGGCAATTCCGGGCGGCGCGCAGACGGCTGAGGAAGGGCGGCAGGGAGGGGGGCGGCGGAAATGCCTGCGAGAGTGGTGGTGGCAGGCTTGGCGACGGGTCAAACGCGGGAACGGACGTCGGAGAGAAAAATAGCAACGTGGATGGCACTGTGGACGGGCAGAGGGTTGACGACGACGTCGGCGTCGGTGTTGCAGGCGACGGTCGTCTGGCCAATGGGAGGGATGGCGGGCACATGGATAGGGATCGGGGGGATATGGATGGGGCGAGCAGCCGCGTGGGAAGAAGGGCCGTCGCAGACGAGGCAGACGACGCCTGCGACGACGCCGGCGAGGAGGACGAGGAGATGAAGGTCGGTGTGTTCTACTGCGGAGCGCCGGTTGTCGGGGAGATCCTGGCGGACAAGTGCCGGCAGCTCACGGTGCGGGGGCGGCACGACGGGAGCAAGATTGAGTACCACTTCATGATTGAGGTCTTTGGGTGAGGTGGAATCGGGAGATTGGCTTTTGTGAAGGATGGGCATTTCCGAGAGGAACGGGGAAAGAAAGACGATGATGGCTTCGATTACGACGACGATACGAGCGATACCAGGTAGCCTATAACTCAAGCGTCTGGCGTCTGGCGAGATGGCAGTCCACGTTGGCAGGCGCTAATGAACCATGGCACACGCAGAGGCGAACTACCAGAAGCACCGTGAAGGTATCATGAAAGCGGACGATGGGATGATGTGGTCCAGAAACCCAAGGCAACGAACGTCGGAACCTACCTTGCCTGGCAAGACGCGCAGCAGCACGGCAGGCAAAAGTAAAAAGACGAAGCGAGCATGACAACCCACTAGGGAACCGCCTCCCGAAAAGCAGAAATGCCCTCCCCATCATGGCCATTCCCTACACCATCATTAGGTTCGGCGTTATGCTCCGACCC